GGGGGGGACAAATGACAACAGCATCGCTCGCGTGAGCAAAATGTTGTCTGAGCGCTCCCGTGTTGAGACGCCTCCTGAAACGTAATCGGGAGGCCCGCTAATGTGGCATCCTCCTGTTCCGCGGGGGAGGGGATGACAAATCAAGCCGCACTTGCTTGTCTTTTCCCCCCCCTCCCTCGTTGGTATTCCGGGGCGGGCGCCTGGCTCCAAGTGAGGCGCACAGAGTCATTGCTCTTCCGGCTCCGGCCCTGACACCTTGCGCCCCCGAGTGCGGACTCCTTCGTCGCGATCTGATCAGCATCTTTATCGCTTCTCAGCCTTGGGGTTCAATTTTGTCTCGGATGCTTTTTACAAATGAACACAATCACGGCTGAGCCCGCGCGTCCTGATTGCATTGAGAGAAGCGGGTGGCGCCAAGTTGAGTGGATTACCGTGCCACCCGAGGACGGAGCGCAAACAGGCGGAGGCGGCCACCGAGGGGGGCCGGCTCTCCCAAACTCCCCCGGAAACATCAGCCGAGCCCTCCCCGCCCCGGACGATTGGCGCTCGCTGCATGTACTCCGTCTTATTCCACTCAAATAATACAATTGTCTCCCATCTTATTGCTTGTAAAGTCGTCATCTGTCCTCGGGGCCACGTGTGCGCGCGTGATCAATGTACTTGCCGCAGTATCAATTCTTCCTGGAATATCTCATGATGGCGAGACCATCCCCGGCAGCAGACGCAGAAGAGGCGGCGGCAAGTGTCGGGTCCCCAATTTTTTGCAAAGCGGCGTTCGTTTCGCCACTTGGACCTTCCCGTTCACACCGCATGGAGCGGACCCCGCTACGTGGCTTATGTTTTGCCCCAAGAAAGTCCTGCGTGGCTTCTCCTTCTCCATTTGAATTATTGAGGTCGAAAGCAAGACCCCTTTTCAGGCCTCAGAATACAAGTATCAGGTTATTTGACCCAAAGGGGAACAAACGGTCTGCGAAAGTCACACCAGAAGAGTTTTTGTTGCCCATTCACAAGATGGCACCGACGAGAAACCTTCTCCACTTACTGGAAGGGTTCCGAGCGATGCCACTGCTTGTAGCACAATGGCCCTAAGTGACATCTTTGACCCTTTCCCAGAGCCACACAGGTGCAGTTACCTTCCCAAATTGGAAAAGGCTTCAAAAGCCAAGGGGGAACGTGATCCCAGTCGCGTTGGATGCATGACTGCTCATTGGTCGGTCGAGGTTCTTCCAAAACGGAGCAGGAGGGCGCCCCGGCCGTGCCAAACGGCGTCTCTCGCTCGGGTCGCCGCAATGATTGACTCACCCGTCATTGCATTTGTGACCTTGAGTTGAGTCCGTTGCTCTGCGGCCGTTCCGTGAGAGCAGCTCGACCGGCAAGCCAAGTCAAGCCCGGAATGCTTTCATTTCCTTTGCGAAGCGCGTGCCGTGTTCCGCATGGGGGGGGGGATGAAGGTGGCCGCGGACAGCACGCCGTCTCTTGTCGGCGCCCCTTTTGACTTTTCACAACCCGTTTTCTCCGACTTCGAGCGTTTTTGTTTCATTTTTTTCCCCGTCACTCCGGCAGGTATCGCGTCCTTTTGTCAACTTTTCTCCCGCCGCCCTGCTCTGCTCTGCTCTGCGGCAGCGGCAGACTCGCTCCGTTCTTCGGCTAGCGCAGGAAGTGAAACTGTACCATTGAGTTCACTAGTAATTGGCTGCGGTCACGCTAAGCAAACAGGAAGGAATCTGCAACTGATTAGAATTCTTCCTCCTGCAATAATAGTCCCGCTGTACAGCCTGTCCCCACGAAATTAATTACATTCAGGGCTCTATTCCCACTATTGGTTTTCCTGTTTGGAAGCTACAATGTAAAGGGACAAATCCCAAGACAACGCGGCAGAGCTGCTTTTTCAATTAAAGAGAGACGGGTAAGTCCAAAAGGCTTTGGGAGAGGCGGGCGGGCGGGCGGGCAGGCATCCATCCAGCCATCTTTTTATCGTCTGGTCTCAGACTGCTGACGAATCCCAACATTTGCTGCTTTTTTATTTTTGGGCGGGGGCGATTTGAAAAAGTGTGATTGTAATTCGAAAAAAAAAAAACCCTCAAATAAATGTATAAACATGTATTAAATATCAAAAGAAATATTCGATATAACAAGGGGGGTTTGGGTTATCAAAGTTAAATGAGATCATGCATGCCAAGAGAATGTTTAACCAAAGGACAAAAAGGAAGAAGAGAAAACAGCTTTGTGTTGTGTGTTGTCGCAGGCGCCGGCTTGATACTGTGCTGCTTATTGGCGCGAGAAGATCATTCCACTTAAAAATGGTTTCTTCCACTTTGTGCTCTCTGACAAATTGACGAAGACATCGCATGAATGATCCTCTCGTGACGGTTTGCGAAATGCTCACCTTACGACGGTTCTGCGTGTGGAGATGGGATTCAGCTGCTCTTAAGTGCAGAGCTGGAGGGCCGTTGGCCACTCCAAAAACAAAAAAATCCTCAACTATTTGCCTGAACACCCGATTTACTTTCTTGATTGGCTTTTGCATGTTTCAAAAAGTGGACAAAAGCGAGCCTTTCATTCTTCCATTTTTCTTTATACGTCCCTCAAACGAACAAAACCCCGCGACCTCCCATCTCAGGAGATTTGGCAATGTGCATGTGTCTTTGTGTGTGCGTATGAGTCTGGACAGGTTGACAGGAGCAAAGCGTGAAAGGAGAAACACACACTTCTTCCAAATAATGAAACCAGAATATGATGAAAACAGAGACCCGCCTGTTTGGAAATGGATTTTTTTTCGTTAAAAAAAAAAAAAAAAAAAAGCATGCTAGTTATTGACAGCCCTAATCATGACTTGTGCAGTGCATAGACTATTTAAACTTCACTCGACATGCCGCTGTCAATTTTACGCAAGGTGACGTCGCACGAACGGAATATCTGTGAATGTGTGCCATCTTCTCACTGAATCATTTGGTGCTGGGCTTCTTTTTTTTTTTTTCTCCCTAAATTCCCACCGCCGTCAAACACTTCAGACGGAACTTCAACCCAGGAGCAATATTTTCAGCAAGCAAAAACTAGTTCAAAGACATTTTTCCCCTCGCTCTCTCCAATCCTCAACTCGCTGTCCTGGCGTCTAGTCAAACTTCCCGATTTGCAATGACTTTGGCAAAAAAAAAAAAATGTGTTGCTGTAGCAAAGCCCCCCAGCCATTAAATCATAATTTGAGGTGCAAAAAAGAAAAATTGAGCCGTGGTTTATTCGTGAAAATGAGGTCTAATAGAGGTGTACGTTTGCAATGTGAGCTATGTGCCATCAAGGACTTTTGCTACCCGATGGTTGCCGCGTCCTCCAAACATGTACGCCAACAGGTCCGGATCCTGCCCGCCGCGTCATTTGATGTGGCCCGCCAAAGCAAATCATACGTGTCAACTGGCGTGATGCTTGCTCAAATCTGTCCCCAAATGTCAAATTGTCTTGTGTAATAACTAACGTTGAGAGTTTGCAATCGTTTGGTTCCACTCGCCCGAACAAGAACTGAACTCCGAAGGAAGCCGTACCTCCAAAGTGGCCGGCGGCAAAACTGAGTACGACGCCCCTCAATGGAGGCCAAACACCTGATTTTCAACCGTAGCTTGAGCTGGATTTTTTTTTTTCAGTTTCACTGCACAAAAGGGCAGGTTTGGAAAAATGCTCAATTTGCTTTAAGAGCTCGAACAGGAAGCTGATGAGCAATCCAACCAATCTGGAATTACGTTCTTGACTGGCTTTAGCGCGCTTCAAAAAGTCGACAAATTTGAAAATGGCCCTTTCACCTTTCCATAGGCGGCCTTCAAACCCAGAAGTTTGGACGACGGCCCCGTGTTCCAAAGATTGACTTCATCATAAATGCATGTCGTGTTGTTTTGAAACGACCGCCCTGCTCGAGCCTTCTTCGAGACGCGCAACTGAATTCCAGGTGACGGGGAGAGCGAGAACAGAGAGGCCTGAAAAAGCTGCCTGCGAGAGATGTAAAATTTATGAATACCCGCCTCACATCTCAGCGTGATTGATGTGAAATAATAATACACTATTTAATGCTTAAACATAGCTCGGGGCCATCCCCTGGCTATCAAGATGTACAATGGAGTCATGTGGCTGCGAGACAAATCACCTTGTGGACTCGCGCTGCTTATTTAAAGGTGCGCGGGCAGATGTATGAAACTATGCGTAATTGTACGCTCACTCTGCTGTAGGCGCAGGCGGCCAACGCGGGAGGAGGCCGGTCGTGGGATGCAGACGGAGCCGTGTCATCAATTTGGCTCCGACGTCGCCGTCCACAAGACGGAAGAGGAGGACGGCAGGAAAAGCAAGTCACCTTCTCATCTCATCCGGCTGCCATGTGCCCGAATCTTGTGCGGGCGCCAATCGCACCGACTATCAAGCGCTCCGGACTGCGATGGATCCAATCGTAAGTTGATGCTGCGTGTTGCCAACCATGGTTTCCCAACCACGATCGTCAGACATATATTGCTCAATACGACCGCAGCGCAGTTGAAAAGAACAGCTTGTGTCGTTATTCGACACATTTGCTCATGTGACTCCCTCATAAAAAGTATCGCGTATTCCCCACTAAAAGTTGCTCTGGAGTATAGAAGTCGCAACGGCCCCAAAATTCATAACAAAGTAGAAAAAGAAAAAAAAAAAACAAGCATGAGTCGGACTGGCGTATAGGTTATAGGTCACTTTGTGTGTGCGTAATTTCTTTCACAAACTACTCGACATTTCATCTTGGAAGGCAAGTTCTAACATGAATAAAAAGAATCAAGAACGGGCTGAATGGGTGTAAGATTTGCTAACACAATGAAGGTTATTCGGGTGTGCGAAAAATGAACGTGAATCGAAAAGGTGTCGAGTGTTAATATGACATCATAAGCACTCTTGCGTAACTGCAGCATCAAGAACAAAACAAGTCGACCTGAATGACTAACTGGCCATCTCACTCCAAATAGTAGTTTGGACACCTTTGCCGTCGCACTTTTCTCGATATTCGAAAACACAAATCAAGCATTTGTGATTCAAAGGACCGCACCGTTTCTCTTCTAAACACCACAGTGGCCAAAGATGGATCTGATGACAGTTTGTTGACTATTTTTGGTTCTGAATGTGGAGATTCGGCCGCTGTGAAGTTCAGAGCCGGATCTACTCGGTGAGATGGAGGGCTGTTGGCCACCCCGAAAAGCTAGGAAAGCCATTTGCCTGAACACCTTTCACAGAAAGCCGATGACATGAACTCCACAATCCAAATAATGTCGACTTGCTTTCTGGACTTACTTGAGCGTGTTCAATTTTCAAAAAGTGGACAAATCGAAAAGTGGCCCTTTCACCTTTCCGTTTTTTTTCTGCATGCGGCCCTCAAAGGAGAAAATTTGGACACCCCCGAGCGAGAGACTAAAGTGTCGACTGTACGTTGTTGTTGGGTTATTATTTTGTAACTGTGTTGATTTTATCAAAAGGGAGAACAAGTTGAAACATGGGTCGTGATTTATGTTGAACCGATTGGCTCCTTTAATGAACTGCAATGCCAACCGCAGTGCAAAGTCTCCTGATCTGATGAATTGGCGGCGCCTTCCCAGCAAAAGCGGCTCAGATAAATAAACGCAGTCATGACAATGGCAAATGAAGCCTCGCGAGTGAGTTGCGTGGGCTGAGGCCGTCTCGTCACGGGTGTGCTTGCGGGAGTGAATGAGAGGCGTTCCCGGAATGTGATCACCTTTCTTGTGGCTTTCAGCCAAAGTCTCGCTGAGGTGGCATACGTGGATACACGCGTGCGCACGAATTCCCGGCACAAACTCTCAGTCAACAATTTCAGCGACGCGCAAACCGCAACGTGCCTGCCGCCCCCAAGCTTGCGCATTCGCGTGCAATTATCGCGACGGTGATCCACAGGTGCTGAATTCTTTGGGCAAGCCATAAAACTTGATCTGCGTGATTTGTGTCGTCAGCCAGGTCTGTCATTTCATTCGCCTTTTCTTTCATTACACCCCCCCCCCTTCCTGGACCCCACAATCCATTTTCCTCCTTCCTAATGAAAGAGCAGACACACAGCGAGAGTCTTTTGGAGATGATGATGCAGTCCGAGGGTGGGGGGTCTGCCATAAAAGGTCTTCAATGCTTCGACTTTTTGGACGTGCTCAACAACAGAGGCATTGACTTGCAGACAAACGACATCATGGAGCATTTAGTTGTGCAGGTATGCGGCCTGATTGAGCAGATTTGAGTTCTGGAACCGAGCATTTGCGCAGACCGAGAGAGTAAATCAAGCGCTCCTCGTACGGCTCGTATATTTAGGGTAGATTCCGAGAAGCGGTCGTAGTGCGTGGCTAACTCTGTTAGCGGGGACCTGTAATGTCCTCTGGGGGGGGCGACACTACACCGACTCTGTCGGCCATTTTAAGAACGTTACTTGAACGTGTTCCGAGAGAGGGCGTTGCCGCCGCCGAGTTCTACACCGCCTTCCCCCTGGCCCGGAAATGCATGCCGACTTGCGGAACCTGAACTTTCAACTTGAGTGTATTAACGCCGATTCAAGCTGGGAGATGGCCACTGTGAGCCTCGCGTGGGCTCCTTCCAGATCTTAAAGCGATACCGTTGCCCTTTGTCATGACCGTCACAGTGCTGCAAATCAGTAGGACCCAATTTTGCGTCGCGTACAATTTGCTCAGGTTTGCAGGCCCGTCACCTGAAACAATTCCTCAAGCACCAATCGAGCGATCAACAACAGTCACGGGCCACATTTGTCTGGGTGCCTGATGGACATTTTGTAGCTGTGACTACCTTCAATAATTAGAAAGAGAAGTCTTGAAAAGCAATAGCTTTTTCAAATCCATTACCTCGTTAAAGGTTATGAGCAAAAACAGGATGATTGCTTACAGCAAAACTCCCAATTAAATGACACGACGCAATTCCGCCTCAGTCGTCACAAGCCCGGGCACAATGAAGGACTAATCGTGTCATTTACCGTCTCGCTGTGGAAAGCGCAAACCGCTTTTCCTTTTTTCCTCCGTCTTTTCTGTCCGCGGTAGGGGTTGGAGAAAAAGTCGGCGCCAAACACCGGAGGAGAATTGCTGGTAAATTGTGAGTGGAGAATGACTTTTGAGCTGACCTACCTGAAGGGAGGGAGCAAGCTTTTTGAAGAGAGATGCTTCCCCCTCCTGGCTGCCTCCCAGAAAGCCAAACATTCCCTGCTTCCCCTTCACGTCACCTTTTGCGCCGCACGTGACCTGTGCGGAGAGTTGCCAAAATAGCCCCCTTCTCCAAACATGGGCGGTCAGGAAAACATTTGGGGGTCGCGAGCTGCCAATTCTTGCTCTCAGTCAAACTTGACGCAGCATGAAAAACAAAAGTCGGTCTCGGAAATAACCGGAAATGACATTGCGGTGCCTCAGGGCTCGGGTAACGACGGTCACCGCTCACCTGTTTTCTGGGTTGAGTCATTTGACGTTGGTAAGCTGAGCCCTTGCGCACCGCGATGCCATTTTCAGTCTGCAGCAAGTGGCAGTGCCAGTCAAAAGGGCCCCCTCCTGAGATGGCCAAAGACATGACATCGCTGCTCAATGGTGCTTTCCACTTCTGGGCCCCGGCTACTTGTGGATTCCAAATCTGAATGAATGCATAGAGGGCGGTCATTTTGGTCTAACAAGTCAAATCCTTCTCGGTAGCATTATTGGGGCACCGCGCTGAAAAAGGAAGGAGGAATATTCCGAGACTTTATCCCATTTGATAAAAAATCAATGAAACAAAATGAATATTGATGATAACGATCAAGGAAACAGGAGCTGGAATCTTTCCACCCCAGATCTTATGCCCTTTGCAAGAGAAGACAGCGACCATTCTCATCTGAGGGGTTATTTTATCCAAAGCAGGGGTCCCCAAACTTTTTGGGTGTCACGGACCAGTTGAGACAAGCCCAGGCTGTCATCTTGCCCTCTGCCCGACTTATTTCTTGTGGGTCGGGTGGTGTGATACCAAACCATTGCCCTCGCACAATGTTCCTTTTTGAATAATCAATAAATAATGATTGTGTTATGTCATGGCATCGTACAAAGAAAGGGGGAAATGGGTTTTATTATATAAATCCATCACGCATGACAAATGGATGCACTTATAAAGTTGGACGGCAAGGATGGGGAAGCAGCCGGACTGAGGTGCACACTTTCTTCACAAGGTTGTAAATATCCTTTTTTTTTTCCTCTGGTCTCGTCAGTGGGAGAGCAGCAGGCCCCTCGGACTGTAAATTTTGAGAGATTAATTAACCTCCTCCATCTCCAATTCAGCCCTGCATCTTTTCTTCTGTACAATGTGACCCTTTGAGCTCAGGGGTGAGAGAACTGGCCGGAGTGGAGACAGCTCATTCCAAATGAGTTATTAACAGAATTTTTTGAATAGAAGGAAAAATTGTAGGCTCGCCATTTAGTGTCATAAAGGCCCGGTCGGTGAGGCGACAGGGGCCTCCCAGGGACAGAAGGCAATACCATTACAATCAAATCTGAGATGGAAGAGGGATTGAGCTGTCCATTCTGAATTTTTATATTGTCGGAGGGCAGAGAAGGAAATAATGCCTTCCTAGAGTGCATTAACCTCTGGCTGGCGAGGTAACGAGGAAAAAACCAAAAAAAAAAGGAGAGAAATACAGGCTAAGAGAGGTAGGATGGGAAGGAAAAAAGCAAAACGCCTTTTTTTTCTTTTTTGCATGGCTACACAGGAATAATAAAGCATAGCGAATAAAGGGAAGGACAAAGAAGGAATGAAGGGGAAATGTGAGGCAGAAAGGAAAGTAATAAGACAAATGCTACACAAAGAAAAATTGAAAGAGACACGCAGTATAGAGGACTTTTATTGCTTTTCCTTGGAGACCATCTATGACAGGAAGTACTTTGGCGTGACTCCTGACCCCCCCACGGCGACCGCGTCGCTCTGCCACTGATGCTGATGAGTTCAAAAATAAGAATGAAATAGGACTGAGTCGGCCTCAAATGACGCTTGCCCACCGGACATCCGCTTTAAACGGCAAACTCCCCAAATTGCGGACGCCTATTCAGGGCCGGTCACGCCGTCGATTATTTGGCTACGAGGAGGGCAGGACGCGCCCTCGCTTGGACCAATCGAATGACAGTTTTTCGGCCAGCGCAAGCCGGAAGTGGTTGGCCGTTTCCGCCGGTGCGACTTGCGCCTTGCTAGCCGAGGCGCCTCTTTTAGCTTGTTTGCAAGTTGCCAGCTTGTCACCGGGGTAGAGAGGATTCCGGGCGAGTTTCGTCGCCACGAAATATGACTGCGAGGAGATGTTTACAGTGGTGCCGTTCGCCGGAATAGTCCCGCAGGAGGAGCTCAAACCGACGCGTAAGGTAACGACCAGGATGTCGTTTCCGTCTTGCGCCTCGGTGCCTTTTTTTTTTCTTCTTGTTTTTTCGTCATCTCTCGAACATTTGACACCGCGACAGTCGAACATCGTGCCAGTGCTTTGTTTCGTCGTATTATGTTGAAGTTCTCCAACACGGGATTGAAAGGGAAAGTAGCTCAATTAGCTACACTTCAGAAAGTGACGGTGACATAATGCCACCCAAAATGTGAGATCGTTGTTGAACTAAAACGGGGGGCGCATTTTGTTCTTAAATGATTGATGTCGAAACTGGGCGCTGGTAAAAACACCCAGTCAGCCTTTGGAGAAAAAGATAGTAGCTGAGATAAATCATGGTCACCTTAAAACATGAAAATCACTGCATTTCAAAGTTGAATGGTAATTCGTGTGTATTATGCAGCGTTCTTCACGTCGGAACGGTTGCAGCAGGTCTTCTTAATTCGTATGTTTTAAAAATGGTGACATTGAAACACCTTATTGACCCCCTCGGCAGATGAAATGATTTAAATAAATCAATGTAATCGAGCAATAGGTATGATGCTTTGTGTTTGCACAGCCACGAGGAGTTCCTGGGCACAATGAGTGCTAAATACGGCCCGGTGGGGTACAACGCTTCGCGGAAGAACATTTCCATCTCCATCCCGGCATCTGCAGAGGTGATGTCCCCTCATATCAAGTCCCTGGAGGAACTGAGGGTTCTCGGAATCAGACTCGGCAACTTCAGTGCCCTCGCGCAGTTTTGCATCTGTGTGGCTGGAGTCTTCTTCTTTTATCTCATTTATGGATACGTACAGGTAAGAAGGCGAATACAACACATGCACTTGCTATTTGATAGCTATTTGCGCATGGAAGAACTGCTCATCATCGGGGTCTGGGGGGGGCTTAAAAATGATGGCGTGGTCCTCGAATGAGCATCTGAGGTGGTGGTTTGGTGCTCATATTTCAGCGCCGGAGCTGGCCTCCTCAAGTTGTCACCATCTTGCTTATTTGTCTTGCCCCCTCAGGAGCTCATCTTTTCGGTGGAGGGGTTTAAACCCTTCGGTTGGTACCTCACTCTGGTCCAATTTGGTTTTTACTCTCTGTTTGGGCTCACGGAGCTTCAGTTCACAAAAGACAAACGCAGAAGGTACAACTGTTCTACTGTATGTCAAACTACCCAGAAATTCAAATGACCAAAATTTTTGTGGGATAAAACTGACCCCCCCCCCCCCCTTTCATATCCTCCAGGATACCCGGGAAGACATATATGATACTTGCCTTTCTAACAGTGGCCACCATTGGCCTTTCTAACACCTCCCTGGGTTACTTGAACTACCCGACACAGGTCATCTTCAAGTGCTGTAAACTCATTCCTGTCATGATTGGAGGAGTATTTTTACAAGGTAAGTTTCGACTTTTTTTTTTTCCCTTCTTTTTTGTAAAATAAGTATCGATTGATTCTCCCATTGCATTGTCATGAATTTGTTTTAGTTTGTCTTTTGACTTGCTTTTTGTCAAGCGCTTTGCATCGCTGCATGAAAAGCGCAATGTAAAAAAAAAAAGGAAAATGGTGGCCATACGTACTGAGTGATGCATAACGTTTATTTCATAAAGAATCACAATTTTACAATCACACTTTTTCATTTATTTTAAAGCATTGTATCACAGTCTTAAAGGTGAACTTGGGAATTGTTCTATGCGGACCCACTCGTCAAACAGGGTATCAATATTAAGATCGCAGTTATCGAATATGAAACTGCACCCGTTTTTATTAATCTCAGGGAGCGGCTATTTCGTCACTTGCTGTCATCTGAAAATGACATCGCACCTGCTCAGGGCTCGGCTCAGCTTCTGAGCGTCACGCGACCAAACTCAGTCAACAGATGATGAGCCTTATGTGTGAAGGCGGTGGTCCCCAACCACCGGGTCGCGGACCGGCACCGGGCTGCGGCACATTGTCAGACTTCCCCGTGAAAAAAAAAAAAAAAAATGGGCAGCCAAGCCCGTTGATTGCAATTTATCTAAAATGTGAGATTTACTGTGGCCTCATCACGATCAAAATTGCCACCAACGTTTTTGTTTCATATATGCTGGCAAAGCGTCAGCAGTATGTCCAGCATGCACACCGCTTCAAAAAACCGAGGCGGAAGCCTCAAGTCGGAGCCGCGCGCCCAGCAACAGGCTGCCTGTGTTGTCGTTGACATGAAGGCGAGTCCCGGGATGGAGGTTTTCTTCTGCCTGCGTTCACATTGGCATTGAGCTGCAGTTTGGCGTGATTGGCGTGTTCCCCACCCCCCTGTTTCAGATAAACGCTATCGGCCGGTTGACGTGGCCGCCGCTGTCTGCATGTGTTTGGGACTCGTCTGGTTCATGCTGGCTGACAGCAAAGTGACACCCAACTTTAATGTCACAGGTGCGTACGTGATCTGGCTAAATAACGGCCAAGAAGAAAAAAAAGAGAGTCATTTCTGTCCTGCGTGTTAAAGTTGTTTGTTTATCTTCAGGTGTTTTCTTCATTTCCCTGGCACTGTGTGCAGATGCCGCGATTGGAAATGTGCAGGAGAAAGCCATGAAACGTCATCATGCCTCCAATTCCGAAATGGTATTTCCCCCCGTATTCTTTCTTTGACACGGACGGTGTGATGGGAACATTTTTGGCAAAGACCTCCTGGAATTTTGAGCTGGGCCTCATGTAGCCCGCTCTGCTGGAGTTGCACATGACAGGAGTGTACAGCAAATTGAGTGGACCCGGAAATGATGGACTCACAGAAAAGAAAATCATCTCAAGTGTCAAAGTGTGTTTTTCAGTTAGTCGAAGGTCCCTCGATGGCTCCTCTCCCATCTTGTGAAAGATTTTAGGAGAATTGAGAATGGCCAAGATGTTGGGCCTCGAATTGCCGCCATGTCGGTAACGCGTCTTGGTCAGCTGTGAAGTCAAGTTGCGCTCGCTGTGTCGACAGGTGCTGTACTCGTACTCCATCGGCTTTGTGTACATACTGGCCGGGCTGCTGTGCGCGGGTGGGCTGGCACCGGCCGTGTCGTTCTGCTCGGAGGTGAGCTCGCACGTCATGACGTCTCTTCAGTCGCAAAGCTCCCGCGCGGGCCCGTTTGCGGCGGCCCTGTCGAAGCAGGCGCTGGCCCGCCCCCGCGGTATAGCCGAGACGGCATTCTTCAGAGTGTAGGTCAAGAGAAAAGGATGGAATTGACTTCCGTCCGTCGCACTTCGATTCCATCGGTGCACAATACGATGGTCGGAAGGAATTCCTTTTTGTTGATCGAGAGCAGCGGTCCCCAAACCGGGCCAGTCCGCCGTGTTTCTGTTTCCTTGTCATGCGGTTTGTTGTCTTCTCGTAGGACCCTGTGCGGACGTACGGTTATGCCTTCCTTTTCTCTCTTTCGGGTTTTTTGGGCGTCTCTTTTGTGTTGGCCTTGATCAAGCTGTTTGATGCCCTCGTTGCAGTTACAGGTCAGTTTTCCAACTTTTTTTTTTTTTTTTGGTCAAATATCTGAACTCGACTCGACTGATTTTGTTTTTTTAACCCACGCGCACACACCCACACACACACACACCCCAATTCTGGTTGTTCGAAAGTCTTTGTCGGTTTGCTTGAAGCCAACAACCGTTGCCAGACCTCTGAGCGTGTTTTCCTTCTTTGCAGTGACTACAGGGCGGAAGGCCGTTACGATATTTTTTTCCTTCATGTTCTTCAGCAAGCCCTTCACTTTTCAGTAAGTGCCGCCACCTTTGGACTTTGGCCAGCGTTGTTCTGTTTAACGACGTGTCCACCGAACTCTGCTTTGACTCAGAAAACTCGGATTTGACTTTGCCGACCCCTCGTTTTCACGTCCTCGGTCCGTTGCTGTACCTTTTTTTGTACTCCGCTCCTCTGTCTCGCCACCCATGACTCATTGCCGCACTTACTCATGGGCTCTGTCAAAAAGGTCACATTTCGTGCCGCTAACGTGATTCGGCTCACGCAAGATAGTCGTACTTTGCCCACGCTGACTGCAGCTTCTTTATTTATTTTTCTGGAGAAAGAGCAGCTCGACTCTGTGATTTTCTGACCTATCACCGAATCTTCATTCATTTGTTGGAGCATTTTCTGCACTCTCAATTTGTAATGTCCTGTTTCTGGAACGCTGGGTGGAAAGTGAACCTTTCTTCAGGTGGCATTGTCGTCACTTGAGTATACTCAACCTCTGTCACCCCCCCCCCGCCCTCCCCCAACACCCTCACACAGGTACATCTGCGGTGGCCTCCTCGTGCTCGTTGGCATCTTCTTGAACGTTTACAGTAAAAACCGTGAGAAAATGAAGCTTCCTTCAACCAAGGACCTAAAAAGCAGACTGCTGGCCGGAAAGAAAGTCAGGCCCCTCTCCCAAAATGTATGAGAGGCATCCGTCACAGGCTTTGATTTGAGCCTCCTTGCCCAACATGCATCATGACCGTCAGATGGAGTTTTGGGGCTCTCTCCACCTGAAGACAACTGGCTGCTACGGGGCTGAAACTTCCCCAAACCGAACGATCTGGTTGGGATTACAAGGGACTAGTGGCGGTTGGGCACTTTTGGAGCGCACGCCAACACATTGCCAGTGTGCACAACAACACCGAAGAGACTCGAAAGGAACACAGTTCTGCGCTGGAAATTTGCAACAAAAAAAACAGAAAAACAAGTTGAAAGGGAAGAATGAAGTGACCGCTTGCTCCCCACCTTAAGGATTCCTTGACTGCACAGATAAATCGGCTTCGTTTTTGTACGTTCAACAATCTGCTCTGTGACTGCTAACCACAAGTGTTTGCATGAAGGCATCACGCTCCTTTTTTTAAAATAAACTCCAAGATGTCTCGATAGTCTGATGATTGATGGGTCTGAGAATCAGTGACTTTCCACTCACTCGCCAAAGCGTTAGGATCGTCTGAGCGCACAGAAGTCGTGTCAAAGGTGTTCATTTTACAGCACAGTAAAACCCTGCGGTTCGGGACGGAGTTGTACCAGCAAGCGTGAAAAACCACAAGTCCAAAAAAAACATCTAAATCGGCTATGTACAGCACCATAGAGAGAGACGGTGGAACGGTAGCACTTTTTTTTTCCTTTTTGGGGGGTTTGAGTAAATAGAACCTCAAATATCGATCCATGGGACACTGAAACATGAGCATGGTTGCTTTTTTTTTGGGTGGGGGGGCAATGGAAAACAAGATGGAATTTAAAAACAATAGCAAAGCAGAAGGCTCACCGCTCTAATACGGGCCATATAAAAGAATAAATAATCCCGTTGTCTGCGGTGTCCAATGCAAAGTAATTTAACGCATCAACGCCGCCACCTATTAATTTCTTGCGGAAGCAGCGCGGGGGGGGGGAAGCCTGCGAGCCCCGATTGGACCGACCGCCCAGCTGCATCTCGTCTCGCATCCCAACTCAACAAAACGCGGAAGGAAACCGCACGTTGATCGGCACGACACGCAACCCTGCTCGCGCGGTCACATGGGAGCGAGTGACACCGTATTCCTAATGAATGAATTAGCCAAGGATGGCGAGAGCCCGAGGGCCCCATTTGGGGCTCTTGTCCTCGGGGCGCCGCATCACCGGGAGCCCTGCGGGCTTCTCTGCGTTCAAGGGAAAATGCGCGGCTGCCTTCATTAGTTCCTCGGCTTCTGACCCTCCTCCCTTCCCCAAATAGCTTTGACGGGGGTACCGCGATTGCTGATCCCCCACAATAACAGCAGTGGAGGCCCCAAAGCCCAAATCCTACGCAGCTGCACACGGGCCACTAAAATCACGGATCGGAACGCAGCGTTGGATGCTTCGTTGTATTGCAAATAGTGATGACTTTCGTGCATGGATGGAATGGAACACCTCCCTGGGTCCACCTGCGTAATTTAATGAAGCGGTGTCTTCAGTTTATGACGGACGTTCGGTTCCGACGACCCGATATATCGTTATCGTATCGTCATCGATGAAAATCATCCAGCAAGCGCACGAGACAAATCCCCACACCCGCCGACTTTGCTCGCAATTAATACGACCTGTCTCATCCAATCACACTATTTGATCTGATGGGTGTTTTGTCATTGTCACTCTCGTCCATCCTGACTTTCCCGTGGTTGTCCGAGGGACATTTGAGACGATTCGGAAGAGCAGTGGATGAGGGGCAAGAGTGTGTCTTTCGTTTTGGAGGTTACCGTGCGGGAGCCGGGTATTTGCCCCGAAGATCTCAGGTCTGTGTTTTCCTGCCATTAATTAATGGGTCCCCAGCTAGTGAGCGGAAGGCAGCTTTTGCCTCACCGCGGCGACTGAGAGAGGCCAGAAGAGGTTGGAGCCAAGCTCGCCTCCATCGCTGCGGGCTCTTGGTTGTGAGCCGCGCCGGATTTGGGCTATTTTTAACAAAATCCTTTTATGGATAGATAAATCTGATTTTATGCAAGAAGAGTCTCCTGGGTTTCAATTAACTGGGGTCACGCTGCAGATCTATCAGCAAAAGAAAGAGGGAAGAAAGCAGGAGAGGAAGCCATAGAAAAAGGGCGAAGAAACCTTTCATTCATGCAGTCTAATTAAACATTGGTGAAATGCATTCGCTGTCCTTTTCTTAAGTTTTTATAACAAGCCATAGGTGAGGGTGGCTGTTTGCTCGGGCCTGCGCTCCCAGTGGGGGGAATCCGTGAAACTGGCTTTTGTCGCCAGAATTCCCATACACTATTCACATATATATATATGTATATATGTGTGTGTGTGTATAGATCCATCTGTATCGATACACAGACACACCACGCACAAAGCGATGCGTAGTCCAAGTCACATGAGCACAAAGAAGAAGTGAGAGGCATGAGGAAACGAAGAGAGAAGTAGGGCCATCTATCAGGAGCGTTTTGGTCAAAACGCACAGTGTGATTTGCGCATCTGTCACCCGAGCGCTCATTGTCTCACCGTGACACCGATTTTTTTCGCCATCAGCTCATTGTCTCTCGTTGTTAAAGTACCCACGGGGCGCTCCTTAATGCCAAGTTGATCTCAGGTTATAGTCACTTACTCCCCATGCCCCCATTACGGCAATGGCATTTCTCTCCGCGTTCCATTCCCAGCATGCGCGCCGATCGCACCGTGTATGATGCTTCTCTGCTGCGTAGTGGGGAATGATCCGCTTCATCGGAGCGCGGCAATGTGCTCTGATACCTTTGGCTAAAAATGCAAACGTGGGCTGGATGACTGCAGGTTTACACACACACACACACGCACACAAAATGTTGCTTCGGCATGCAGTTGCTGAGCAATGAGCACCACACGCCGATGCACATACAAGCTGCTTGTACAAAATGTGTCAATTGTGGAAAAAAAAAGAGTCAAGTCCCTAATGTGACACGATCCATCTAAACATAGCTGCCTGTTGCAACACATGCTTAGTAGAATTTTGTGCAAAAAGCTGGACTGCAAGTCAAAAATCTTTTTTTTTTCCTCAGTGAAAAAAATCAAACTAACACGCTCTGTTATCTTGGCCAAATTGGCAGAATGGAGTTTTTTATAACAAGCCATAGGTGAGGGTGGCTGTTTGCTCGGGCCTGCGCTCCCAGTGGGGGGAATCCATGAAATTGGCTTTTGTCGCCAGAATTCCCATACACTATTCATATATATGTATGTATGTGTATATAGATCCATCTCTATCTATACACAGGCACACCACGCACAAAGCGGTGCGTAGTCCAAGTCACATGAGCACAAAGAAGAAGTGAGAGACATGAGGAAACGAAGAGAGAAGCAGGGCGGGCCATCTATCAGGAGCGTTTTGGTCAAAACGCACAGTGTGATTTGCGCATCTGTCACCCGAGCGCTCATTGTCTCACCGTGACACCGATTTTTTTCGCCATCAGCTCATTGTCTCTCGTTGTTAAAGTACCCACGGGGCGCTCCTTAATGCCAAGTTGATCTCAGGTTATAGTCACTTACTCCCCATGCCCCCATTACGGCAATGGCATTTCTCTCCGCGTTCCATTCCCAGCATGCGCGCCGATCGCACCGTGTATGATGCTTCTCTGCTGCGTAGTGGGGAATGATCCGCTTCATCGGAGCGCGGCAATGTGCTCTGATACCTTTGGCTAAAAATGCAAACGTGGGCTGGATGACTGCAGGTTTACACACACACACACACGCACACAAAATGTTGCTTCGGCATGCAGTTGCTGAGCAATGAGCACCACACGCCGATGCACATACAAGCTGCTTGTACAAAATGTGTCAATTGTGGAAAAAAAAAGAGTCAAGTCCCTAATGTGACACGATCCATCTAAACATAGCTGCCTGTTGCAACACATGCTTAGTAGAATTTTGTGCAAAAAGCTGGACTGCAAGTCAAAAATCTTTTTTTTTTCCTCAGTGAAAAAAATCAAACTAACACGCTCTGTTATCTTGGCCAAATTGGCAGAATGGAGTTTGCTTTCAAGTTGGTCTCACGACACATGGAAATAGGTTGAGTTGCGGCGCCACGTCGGTTGAGGGAACAAAGGCAAGTTCCGCTTTTTCTGCTACGTAACGGCTGCGCATGCGTGAGTAGCATTGAGAACGACAACGTTAATTCGATTAAAATACGTTATTATTTTTCCACGGTAGTCAGAAAGTTGCCGATTAGTTTCTCCGCAACGATGTCAAGTTGCATTAGCAGCAAATAGAGCTTTAAAAACTTGACAAACACAGCCGATGTCATTGGTATATGGTATCATAATTTCGGACCAAGCGCAGACCCTTGGGGGGGGTTGCTTCTGTGACAATCATTTTGCCACAGCGGATAATTGCAAGGGAAAGGAAGCACTGTAATTGTGCATGGCCGGCTGACATTTAGCTGCGAGATGAGAGCGAGCGCAAGCGGGAGGCTGTGACGGGTCTCGCCTTTGCTCCAATTAGTAGTCACCCTCTGCCTGATTGGGAGGAGAATCCCATGGCCGCAGGGATTGGTCAATCTTTGAGGCACTCCGTTTGAAATTGGACACTATCGCCCCAGGTAGTCGTGGGAAATGGGACTAACCGACAAAATAAAACCCAAAGAAAGAAAAAGCAAGCGCACTTGATCCATTAGTGCTCCCTGATCTTAAGTCTAGGGCGATGCCACACATAATGGTTTGGACTCGGGTTTTGTTTCACTTTTGAAGCATAGTTTTCCATGAAATGAGATTAAGCACCCCCCCCCCCAAAAAAAAATCGTTGATCTTCATCTTAAATTGTTTCCAACACTATGTTTTGCACATTATGGGCACCTGTGAACATTTTCTTTTAAAAATAAAAAAAGGAAGGCCAATACAAGCATCTCTGTTGGTTCCGGTAAATGTCAAGCGCTCCAGTCAGTATGCTATGCCACTTCTTCAGCCTTTATCTCGAATGAGACAATGTACACCAAGCACAGGAGCCTCCAGCCGCTTTCATCCAACCTCAAACAAAAACATAATCGTGAAGCACACGGTATAAATGAACAAATAGACGCTTCTTTCCAAACATGATGAATATGTGCATTGTCTTTACTTCGCCTGGGTGTGAATGTTTTTTGTTTTTTTTGTTTTTCTTCGACCCCAACTCTGGATGCTGTTGGCTCGAGGAGGAGAGTCACGCTGCTTAATTAAGGACGGAGAAGAGGATGGGCGGGCCCGCTCAACGCGGTGTCCTCATTAGTGGATTTTCCACCCGGAGGTGGTGTTGAAAAACAGGACGCCTAATGAGGGACCAACAGTCAAGTAATTGCAAGGGTTTCTTAAATTGGGTTGTATGAAAACTTTGTTTTCACGCTCACGGGACACATTATTAGGTACGCCGACACCAGCTCTGATCGCAAGCTGCAGTTGCAGACTGCTGACCGCTAACAAGTTCCGGTGATG